GTCGGGGGTGTTAGTGTAACGTAAATTTGTTTCGTGTTCCTAAGTGTGGAGGGAGAATTTTTACAGCTTTTTTTTTTTTTTCCTTGCGGGGGGCGGAAGTGGGGGGAGATGACGCCTTATTCCGTTATTTGCGACCAGCATTTTCTGGAAGTGTATCCCGTTGTGGCGTTTTATTGGAGATAATTTTGGAATAAAAACATTTCCGTGAATGAGGGTCTTGACAGCTTAGAGGTACGGTTGATACTGAATTTCTGAGACATTAGGAACTACGTGTTTTTGGAGGCCTGTCCTGCGATAAAGAGTACCTCTGGGAGCTGACTACCGAAACAGATTCTAGCTTAGCATACAGCAGAATATCTTTATATGTTTTTTGTTATTGTTGTTGGGGCTTTTTTGGATCTGTTATGCTGCAGATTCGTAAATCTGCCCTTTCATATTGAAAGGAGGTTTTTTTTTTTTTCCGTATTAGGCAACCAGACAATCAGTCTCTTATGCATCTGTTGGAAGATTGGTTTAAATTGAATCAATGTTGTTTTCTGAATTCTTTTGAAGAATCTCCCTTCTTTCTGTACTCTCTTTTTCCATCTTAATTTTGAAAGAAAATATTTTTGTTTTTACTGTCAGAAATATTAAATTACTGTTATTAAATTACTCGTCAGAAACACTATTTATCTTTTGTTTTAGGCCCTTCGCCAGATTTCCCAGAGGACCATAAGCACTGCTTCACGCAGGCAAATTGAGAACAGAGTTCCTGAGAAGCAGAAGCTTTTTCAGGTATTGAGTGAACACTGATAATGGAACATCAGTAGAGTAGTAAGGTTTGGTAGAACCTAATTGTGTGTTTTCTTTATTTAAAAAAGAAAACTACTGAAAGCTTGCTTCATGTCTTTGTCGAATTCTTGAATCAGTTGTATGACTACAGTGTTTGAAATCAGCAAAGCAAATTATTTTGTACAGAAATTAATAGTATTTGAAAATGCGTAACTTGTCCACTCTTTAGGGACTTCTACTCTGCGAGATGATTTAGTACCTGATTTTCTTATGAGCAGATGGTACTGTGCAAAGATACAGATTAAGTACTTTGAAGTGGGATGGGAGCTTATTTTCTAAGAACAAACAGAGAAAAACAGCAAGTGAGAGGATAGAAGTACAGTGAAAAATCAAACCTGCTGTCTTACAGATATGTTCATAGCTGATAGATGAACCTCATAATTCTTAATGAGAAGGTAGCAGTATTATATAGTTCTCAGTTATAAAAATAATAACGATCTTAAGAGATTGGATTCACTCCTAGAAAAATAATGAATCTTTAAAAATAATTTTTGAGACATCTCTTCCTAATTTGTAGGTTATCTCATGAGAACTGGTGGTTCTTCATATGCTAGAATGCTCAAGAGCATACTCAACAGCTGTAAGCCTTAGCCTGGAGCAGTAGCTTCCTACTGAGGATGGAGTAGGCTGGGCTTCAGCAAAGGGAAGGGGAAAAATGTGTTACAAGCCTTAGTTGAATAGGTTTTATGTCTTGTTGCTTTCCTTTCCCCTGAAAGAGAAGGCCAGTCTTCTTTAGATGCTACCTAAAGAGCACAGTGTTCATTGTGAGCTAACGGGGAGCAGGATACTGGCTATAGGTGAGGTCAGAGGTTCTTTTTCTGCCAGCAGGGTTCTCTTTGCGTATCTCTGGCTGACCACAAACTGTTTCTTCCTCTTGTCCCTTTCTTGTGTGATAGCAAGTTAAGCTGGGTCAGGACGCAGATCACCAGCACTAGACCCAGCCTTGAATTTCAGGGCAACCTAAGCTTGCTGGCAAGGGTAAAGATCATGTGGATCTAGTGTTTAGAGTGTTTAACTTGAGGTGGAGTGAAACAATTTTCTGTATGATACCAGGAAACTGGTGACAGCAGAGGCCCTTCCCCTTGCTGCCACAATTTTGTGTAGTAAGGGCTGGCTGTGCTGGAGACTGGGAAGTTTCTAGGGATAGTAATTACGCAGTGTGCACCTGTGGGGGCTGGCAACTGATGTCAGAAATGTTTAAGCATCCACCACATGCTGGTTTATAGTGCTGTTACTATACTTCCATAGCAAGTGGTCACCTGATACTGGAACAAAAACTTGAAAGACAAGGCTGAATCTCAAGTGAGGTTTTCAAGATTTTCAGTCTTTTGCGAGAAGGGAAGATAATTCTGGGAAGTAACTCTTGTTCAGGGTAGCTCCAGTTACATACAGTCAATATTGCAAGTACTGCATTTAAATACCATGTTTTTTTTCACTTGTTTCCATTAGGAGGATAATGGCATTCCAGTGCATCTTAAAGGTGGGGTAATGGATGCTTTGTTGTACAGAATCACCATGGGTATTACAGTTCTTGGTAAGGCTAATACCATAATGTTTATTATTTGATGCAATCTCCAACATGCTGCTATTAAAATATTTACTCTTTGGTACATTTCTTCTCGAAATCACTTAGCCAATGCCTTCAGTCTGTTCCTTAGAACATGAAAAATGCTTTTTGTAGACAGAAATAAAGGACTGTGGACATTCTGTACTTTTTTTTTTTTTAATTTAGCTTCTCATCTGAAGCCTTTCCTTCCCTGGCTGGTTGTACTATGCACTGAGTGCTCCTTCAGAATTCATATAGTATGTTAGGCAAAGCTAGAATTACTTAAGTAGTTTATTCTGAAAAGAGGTAAAATGTAATAATGTCACCTGTGCATCACCAGCCTGATTCTTCCTAGTGCAAGCTGAAGCTTTTATTACTAAAACTTTTTGTTGCTAACAGAATATATCCAAACTTTGTGATGTTTTCTGTTTAACACTTAGGTTGCTTATTATATGGATTTGTAATTGTCTCTAACATAACTATGTTGCTATAATGGATTTTGTTCGGTTACCTTAGGAATGAACAAACAATACTTCTGTGATTATCTGTGTAGCTTCTGTAAACATGAATTCACCCCTCTCCTCTCTTTTATTTTATTTTATTATTTTTTTCATGTTTAAGGCCTGTCTTTATTTTCACCTAGTCTACAGAGAGTTACTTAAGGTTTTCATTCCCTAAAAGCCAGTAAATGACTAAAAATAGTTGAGACGTGACTGTGGAAATATGTTGTGTCTGAATTACAGCTTCTTATTATCAATATTTCTTCAATGACAGACTGGGAAATGAATGTTGAGTAGAAACAAACAGTGTTTACCATTCTGAAAATATCTCTTCTGTCTCCTGCTTCAGGAACAGGCTATGTTCTGTATGAGCTGACTGTAGCTTCAATGCCCAAGAAATAGAAATGATTCCAGTCCAAGATGTCTTGGTGACTAGCTTCTCTTCGTCCAATTCCATGTGACTACGGTCGTGGCTTATACTTCTTACAAGCAGCTGACTTAATGTTTGGAATCACTATTTAACTGTAACATGTTAACTGCAATTAATAAAGCAGTTTTGACATTGCTTTGTGGTGGTCTGGATTGTATCAAATGTGTTCTACATTAGAGTGCGTTTTACTTTCATTAAACATATTGAACTGATCAACATGTAGATCTCTTAATTGTAGATACTGGCAAGAGCCTCTTTTCTTTGTATGTGGTTTATGTTAATTCCTCAAAAGTGAGTTGAATGCCCTGAATCCTCGTCAGAAGGTGATACTTTGTCTTTATTATAGTGACTTTATCTTCTAGCTTTAGTGGGGCAAACTGATCTTAAAATAACGATGGCAATTAGGTTAAACCTGCATCGAAATGAAGAATCCTCAGATGCTGAGGACATAATGATTATGCTGCATTGTTGCTGACAACTTCAGTTGCTGGAAGTTGACTGTAATATGCCTAGAAATAGAGGAATCTGCTTCCAGACCACCATGCCAAGGTGGCACTGCTGTTCTTTGCAGCTTCAGGGACTCAGAAGTATTCTCATTTGGACTCGGCACTTTCACCTATTGGATTTTTTTCAGTGGCTTTTGTCTAGTACAGCTTAATGGAATCTTGTTTTTGCTACAGAGAATGAGAACTTCGGAGTATGAAGGTATGTTTAGGTGAATGTTCATGTGTTTATCTGGCTGCGCATGAAATTGACATATGTATGTTTATCGTCTGTGAGTGTTAGTAATCTTCCAACATTGGTTCGTGTTTCAGAAGGCCAAAGCTGGGTTGTTTGTACTCGTTAGGGTAAGGAAAGCGATCAACTCTTTAGCATGAGACATGAAAGAAAGTCATAACTGGGAGAATTAGCGAGTCTTTTAGAGCAAATACTGAAATGGAGGAGAGGCACAGTATGTGTTAATTCTAGTTGTACAAGTGCAGTGCTAGAATTCTTCTGCCAGTTGAAAAGGTTTACGGTGAATCTATTAACTAGACAAATATTCTGGCAGTTGACTGCTTATTTGAGCTAGTCTGAATTAGGTGCTGTTAAACCAGAAAAACTGAAGATATTGAAAGCAATGCTTACTGAAACTCCAAATTTCTATTGAGCATTTTCTTCAGCTAATTTTTAATGCTCTCTTGGAGGAATTTTCTCCAGAATTCTCTGCCTCTGAAGAGAATGGCGGATAGGCTAAATCCTTAGAAAGAGCGCCTTTTTTGTCTACAAATTTTGGTCCTCTTCTGTGCTTTGGGAATGGGATTGTTCCATATCTGTAGGGCAGGAGTGGATCTAGCTGATTACTTCACTTAGCCTCGTGTATAGTTGGTTTCAAACAATCGTAGAGTAATTAAGGTTGGGAGGGACCTCTGAAAGTCAACTGGTCCAACCTTCTGTTCAAAGCAGAGTCGCTTCAGATTTACACTGGGTTGCCCAGGGCCTTGGCCAGGCAAGTTTGGAATATCTCCAAGGATGGATATTTTACAACTTTGGTACAACTTGTTGCAATGTTTGACCATCCTTTCTGTGAAGAATATTTTTCCTCTTCTGAGTTACAGGAATACTTGCAGTTGTTAGCATTTCTGTTACCACTTTAAAGAAAGTTACAATTCAATTTGACTAATTTGACTGAGACAGCCAAAAATTTTACAAACTGTAAATGAAAAGCGGGTATCTTTCAAACTGGTGTTCTAAGACCTTTCACAAAAAAATAGACAAAAGCTGCAGGCATGGCTGAGTTTATTTAGACTGTTGCTACTCCTTCATTTCTCTCTGTCAAAGACTGCTGCTCCCAAAGCTCAGTCAACACTATGGTTTGTATGAGTTCTCCTGTCTGCTCCAATGTAAATTTTGCTGGATCACTTCAAACACTTTGGCAGCAATGTGAACTATGTAGTTTATGCTAGGTTACTTGCCTTAGCAATGAAATGGTTAAGGAGCGCTTGCGTTGTCCATTTTACCAGCCCAGCTGTACCACAGCCCTCTGCATCTACCTAGGCACAGCACACAGCTGATAAAGCTAATAGTTGAACTGCAGATACGGTCAGTCATTCGCTTTCAGTGGCTGGGATGTGTTTATAGGCTTGCTAAGATACTGAGAACCACAAATGCAACTGGAGATCGGTCAGTGTGTTAACAAATAAATAAGAACGGGTGGTGGCCCAGACTTGGCCAGGGATACCTAGCGACAGCTATAAGCTGCTATCATGTATTTAGGAACAGTCCTTCTTTCTGAAGTAGATAATGATGTCAGTGAAAACGCCCACTGTATAAATCTGCTTCTAGGAAACATCTTTAAGTTGGTGGGTAGCACGGTGGGTATCGTTTGTAAACACACTTGTCATTAGCTACCGAGATGCCTCTGCTTCTTATCTTACTATTGGCTTGACTATTCCAATTACTGAGGAAGAGCATCTTCTGACAGAGAAGCAGTGTCTTTGTAGCCTTCCTCCCAAATTGCCGTTTGGCGCTTCATTGTGCGTGGTTCAACTTGCTTTACTTCCATCAGTCACAGAAGTAATGGCTGGAGAAGCATTTGAAGGGGATTTCAATCTATCCCACACCATTAGATGCAAAGAAATGTTGGATCATGTTCCACAGGGTACATCTTGGAAACGCCATCCCTGTAGCCGTACACAGGATTTCCCCTGAGGTTGCTGTAGCAATTCTACAGATGGAAGTTTTTTTCTGGTGCAGGGAGGTTAGAGACATGTCAGGGTGGAATCGTGTATTTCAAATCAGTGTCTCCCTTTCTTTACTGTAATCTACAACAACAAAACAGTTATCTCTCCACTTTATCTCCTGGTTAGTCTGGTGTTGATTGCGGAGTCATGACAAATTAAAAACAGATCTTCCTTTAAAAAAAAAAAAAAAATTACCGAAATTGTGCTTTTTCTTTCTCCTCTCAAAGGAACGATGGGTTCTCCAAGATGTGAAAATAAGCAACAAATGCTAGCTTCTCACTGCAGTGCTATTTTAAGCCCCTTCTGGATTAAATTTTTTCTTTTATTTTTTAAATTTTTCGTTGCCATCCTGGTTAGCCCAAGTGTACCTACCTGTTCAAGTTGTGAGACAAAGTGGAAGGAAACTGCAAATGTACTGAAGAATTGTAGTAGAATTAAAAATCTTCAAAAGATGAGAATGGGGGAATATAACAGTAATTTCTGTGCATTGGTGGGACTAGCCAACTGCATGACTAAAAGAGTAAGAACTGCCTAGATAGATGTCTTCAGCAAAACATGTGGGACTCTTACGGTTTTTCATTGTAAGATGAACACTGATACCTACAAGAAGGAGAAGCCTCACAAACTGCACGTGAAGGAGTCTTTTTGTTCTCTGCAGCATTGGTAAGGCTTTTACTACTACAGCGTGTCCAGGGTTAGTAGCAAGATGCGGACCAAGTGGTGCGGATCTGGAAGGCAGCATCAGGAACGATCAGAGCCTTTAAAAAGCATGCATCCTTTCCCACTCACAGGAACTGAGGAATATTGTAAGAATAGCAATTGCTTTAGCAGTCTAGAATACATAAATCCTATGATGAGAAAGGCAGTAAAATGTGAATTTCTGCATGTGAGCTAAGCAGGGCATGCAGCTATCCTAGTTCTTATTTAGTAAGTCAAATCTCAGAGTCTGATATCTCATATGTGGCAACAGCTGTGAGCTGTGCTGCAGACAACAACCTTGGTAGGATGCTACGTGGGGTAAGTGCAAAACATGCTGGGCAAGAACAGGAAGATCTCAATAAGACAAAGTTACCAGAATATACAGATGGAGCCTTCTAATGTTCTTTAGGTAAAGCTAGACTTCATCAGAAGTCTTCAGATGACAAAAAGTTGCTTTGGAAAAGGTAAAGCTAGTAAACCCAAAACGTTTCCCCTTGAATCTTCTGCAGAGTGTGAGACTAGACCTGAGGTGGGCGGGAGAGCCGCTCGCACTGGCACGCTGTAGTTCAGCTATGTGATCACGGGGCGGCGTACGCAAACCGTGCTTGTGCTGCTGCTTCTGCCTTTTCCACTGCAGGAGCAGTAGGAGAGTGAAGTTAAACAAGACCCATGGTCAGCTGCTCAGCACTGTTTTCTAGGATTGCTCTACAAAGCTAAGGGAGGTACCTATCCCCTCTTTGGTCTGTAGATGTAAGTTATTGCAGGTGTACCCACATCGCAAGCTGCCAGAAGATGTAAACTGTGTGTGTATACTTCTCTAGGAAAGCAAGCAAAAAGAGAGCTATGCATCTTCTTCAGGGCTAGGAAATGGAAAGTGTTTGAAAATATCTGAAGGACTTACTTTCAGTGTTCCTATAGGTATTTCATGACTAGAAGACATTTAAGTAAGCAACATCTATTACTCCCTGCTAACTTGAAAAACGATAAATTTTAAAAATAAAATGGTCAAGAATATGAAGTCACAAGTTTTTAACAATCAAATGCACTGTTATCAAAAATATAAAATTATCTATTCTGTTTATTTTTTTCTATTACTGTAGTGCATAATTGCTAACCTTGAGCCTTTTCTTGAGTTAGGTATTGTACTGATGTAAACTATTGTTACCTTATGCAGGAAAGGTTTCTGACCTGTGCTTAGGCAATAGATGTATTTTTTTTCTCCCAAAGAGAGTGTGTCTGGTTTATGTAAACTTTATTTTTCACTTTCTATCATTAGTAATGGTAGCTGTAATTTTTGTGATGTTAGGCTTTAAATGTTGTGAAACCCTCTTGGTAGTGAAGTATGGGAATGCTCTCCTGGGGTCTCCTGAGCTTGATTGTTCTAAGTGTCACCCCTAAAATGAGGAGGAGATTTTCTGCATGATGGATTACTAGTACTCCCATCTATCCCACTTCCCTTGCCATCCTGTTTTTCCACTGTTTAACCTTTTAAACTTGCACAGCTTTCAGGTTAACAGAGAAAGCTTACTGGTGGGCCAGCTCTGGCGGAATGAAAAACATTGGTCATATCACTGTAAAAGAAGTGATTATCTGAATAACAAACAGACCTTAAAGAGATGAAAATGAAATGCTAACTATTGTAGTTATAGGTTAAACAATCCTTTCTGAGACCTCAGATGTACAGACCATGTTTTGCTTTCTCCATTAGGCAGG